GTATTTATAGCGTGTACGACTGTTCGAGTGGTCCCAGTCAATACAAAAATTGCCATTTATTGTATAATTATTAACTCTTTTGCATAGCACGGACATGCATGAAATATTATAACTACTCGATGTATCAGGTTGCATTGAAATTTATGATACAGTTTGTGTTGTTATATCATCATACCAAGGTTGGATGTGCTGTTATTTTCATTCGCGCCCATGAAAGCCATGCTGCCTGGTGTTTTCCATGACTTGTATTTCGTCACAAAAAAAATATAAATAGCTTTAAACAACAATCGATACACTCGGGCTTTTCAATAATGTCATTTCTTCCGAAGTCAATAACCAACTTCTTGGTTATTCGTCTTGGACATAATCCTTAAAAACAAGCTAAAAAAGCCGATACTATTCCGATTGTCATAAATTACCATTTTTATATCATTTGTCATCCAGACGCTATACTTTGAAAAATAAAGCGGCTGGATGATCGAGACTAGCTATTTCGTGGCGGTCAGTTTTTATTGGTGGTTGAAGCCGGTGTGTTCGGAGAGAACCACCGAGGCTTCGGTAGGAAAACTGAAAATCCTAGTCAAGTAAGATTGGAGTCGAATGCACCTACCAAGTGCGGAATTCGACTTGAACTCACAACCTCAGTGTTGAAAGGCTAGTGGCCAAGTAGTTCGACTACTTAGACCACTTGGACACCAATACCCCTACTAGTAAGTATTGAGGACATCCAGCTAGATTAGGACAACGCGAGACAACTCCAGCCTTTGTTATGAATATCAAGCTTGTAAGCCTTTGTTATGAATATCAAGATTGGCATATGTATATACCGGTATAACATGTTACTTTTATTATTCTTCCCTTAGTTTATTTATTTTGTATTTGCATTGTATCATAGGTCAAATTTATTTGTTCAGTGTATGTTCATTGGTGTTAATATGTCCTTTGATTGAGTTAAGCTATTTCAGTTGATATTTTATAGTGTGTCTTTCTATGTTGTGAGTTACATTATTGTTTCAGAAAAAGGGTGAAGGTTTGGTACCATTAAAACGTTTAAACCCGCTGCATTTATTTGCACCTGTCCTAAGTCAGGAATCTGATGTTCAGTAGTTGTCGTTTGTTGATGTGGTTCATAAGTGTTTCTCGTTCCTCGTTTTTTATATAGATTAGACCGTTGGTTTTCCCGTTTGAATGGTTTTACACTAGTAATTTTTGGGGCCCTTTATAGCTTGCTGTTCGGTGTGAGCCAAGGCTCCGTGTTGAAGACCGTACTTTGACCTATAATGGTTTACTTTTATAAATTTTGACTTGGATGGAGAGTTGTCTCATTGGCACTCATACCACATCTTCTTATATCTATAACCAAAATTATTAAGTTGAAAATGAACTTACTCACCACTATCACATGCTATGTTCAGTGAACCGTATATACTTGATGTTAACACTGTAATTCGGCATCTAATTTAAAAAGTTTACACGTGACCATAATGCATATGAATACTAAGTTTCAAGTTTATGTGGCCAGACCTTCATATGGTAAACTACTTAAACCAAAATATTTAACCTGATACGGAACAGACGGGCGGACGAACTGACATACCAATAAGATAATGCCCTCTAATATCGTAATCGAGGTATAAAAACTTTTCCAATCTAAACTAAAGGCTCCAAGGAACCTGTATCGCTCACCTTGCTTAAGATATGAAATGGATAATATATACAATAGTATTTGGCAATCGCCAATGGCAGTCAGCAGGGTTTAAGAACATTTGTTGTTCGACCTGTTAGTCAAATGCGTTTTGTTAAAATATACTTTTGCTCTTTTTTGGTCTTTTGGAAAATGTTGTTTGTGCTGTATTTATACCCCTCTAACAAGAAATTTGTTTTGCATGCACACGTATAATAATTGCGGTTTTTATCCAACGCAATCATAGGTTTGAACGTTGTTTTCAATTTAGATTTGTTTATATTTTTTTGTTTGGGCTTGTATTATATTTGCCTTCGGGTTTATATGATCCGTTCATCCTATTTCGACTCTTTCAAAATTCAAGAGTCTATCCTAAATTGAGGTAAATTATATGGCCTTCCAAATACCGTTTCGATTCCTAACATCACTGAAGAGACATTAATTGTCGAAATCCGGATATTGTGTACAAAAACCTTTGCACCTTTTGTTTGCGGTATATCATCTTTTCCGCATGTTTATTGTTTTCTGTTTAGTATGAAATTTATAATTAAGATCCATTTATTACATCGGTGATCCGTTTATTTGGCAATCGCCAATGGCAGTCAGCAGGGTTTAAGAACATTTGTTGTTCGACCTGTTAGTCAAATGCGTTTTGTTAAAATATACTTTTGCACTTTTTTGGTCTTTTGGAAAATGTTGTTTGTGCTGTATTTAGACCCCTCTAACAAGAAATTTGTTTTGCATGCACACGTATAAAAATTGCGGTTTTTATCCAACGCAATCATATAGGTTTGAACGTTGTTTTCAATTTAGATTTGTTTATATTTTTTTGTTTGGGCTCGTATTATATTTGCCTTCGGGTTTATATGATCCGTTCATCCTATTTCGACTCTTTCAAAATTCAAGAGTCTATCCTAAATTGAGGTAAATTATATGGCCTTCCAAATACCGTTTCGATTCCTAACATCACTGAAGAGACATTAATTGTCGAAATCCGGATATGGTGTACAAAAACCTTTGCACCTTTTGTTTGCGGTATATCATCTTTTCCGCAAGTTTATTGTTTTCTGTTTAGTATGAAATTTATAATTAAGATCCATTTATTACATCGGTGACCCGTTTATTTGGCAATCGCCAATGGCAGTCAGCAGGGTTTAAAAACATTTGTTGTTCGACCAGTTAGTCAAATGCGTTTTGTTAAAATATACTTTTGCACTTTTTTGGTCTTTTGGAAAATGTTGTTTGTGCTGTATTTAGACCCCTCTAACAAGAAATTTGTTTTGCATGCACACGTATAAAAATTGCGGTTTTTATCCAACGCAATCATAGGTTTGAACGTTGTTTTCAATTTAGATTTGTTTATATATATATATATATATATATACTCAAAACTCGTAATCAAAATGAGTCGAAGCGCAAATGACAACGCTAATTAAAAAAAACGAAAAACGACAAAAATACATACAGCAGACTACAAACTACTGACATAGCACACTAAAGAATGAGCCACACGGACCCCACCGAAACCGGGAGTTATCTCAGGTACTCTAAAATGGTAAACAGATCCTCCTCCACATGTCGCACCCATCCTGTTGCTCATGACAGTTCAATTTAACCACTATAAAGGAATCATTTATCAAAGAAATCACGATAGAAAATGCAGGTCCTGGAAAATTGTATCAACTGGGAGATACACACTCCAGGCTATGCTGAAATGTTGTTACATAGAAATAGAATGTTCACAATAAAGGAAGCTGAAATCATCTCTTTTGTGTGAAGTTTTATTCTCAACTGACCCGCATTGTCAATTTCAAGATGTTAGTCAAGATATAATGCAGACATTATTGTAGTTGTGGTATGTTTTATTTCCAAGTTCGATGGGATTAGATGCGTTCAATATAGTCACCAAACTTTGAATTATTAAGTGAGAAGACATCATCTTTTTAGCGGAACGTGAGGTTACAGAATAATGCTAGTTGCTTTTCATTCTTCTTGCGAAGCTCCGGTATGAAGCATATGTCTCATATGAATAGCAGGGGCATAGGGAAAATGACGTCAAGACGGAGGAGCACAGTTGACTCCAATAGCTATGACGATTGTAGGTTGAAAACTTATTTTCCAAACTTAACAAGAAATCAAGCATCTCGACGATATCAGTTTCAGAGAATTTGTTGCTTGAATCAGAGTGATTTTTTTTTACAACGTATGATGTATCCAATCCTAAACCATGATATTCTTATCTGTGTTGTTCACTTTTTTCCTGAATCAAATTTGAATCAATTATTTCAATGTGTCTTAAAATTTATAATTGGTAATACTAGTGTAAAGGGTATATTTGTAGACCTTGTAGTTAATGTTAACACTGTTGCCGCGTCTATTAACTATAGTTCGGCAAAAAATCCGCTATCGTCCAACCAGGAAATCGTCATCAGACATTAAAGGACAATATTTTCTATAAGGATACGACTTACCATGTGACAAATTTGCAGTTCTTGTCATGTTGAGCATTTTTGCCGTTGAAAGTTTATCTCTTTATATTATAGTCTGAATATAGCCAAAATACAAACATGTGTAAAATTCTCATTGTCTTACCATTGTAGTTTTCAAGATACATGTAAGAGACAAAATGAAAAAAAAAGCTTAAAAGTTGATCGACTATCTAAGTTTTATTGTATTATTTGTAAAATCTTATTTTGTTTGTCCGTTTTACTTTACAGTTTTGCTCTAACTATTCCAGTTTCTCACAAAAACGCAAAGTCGCAAAAGCAGTAAATAAAGAGCAATAATTCGCATACGGAGTCCCGTGACAATTGATTTAGGATTTTTTTATTTATTTATGCATACTAGAAGTAGTACAAAATGTATATATAGTCTTGGTATATAAAACAGTGACGGACTATACGCTTCACAAGTTAATTTAAAAAGTAGGCCAATAGTCATACTTAATGACGCATGAAGTATAATGTATGAACGATGGCTATCATTGTTTTTTCTAAATTATTATTTGAGCCCTGGGATTGGGTTTGGTAAAAAAAAAACAGCTTTCTATATACATGAAATATACAAATCATAACCATTGCCCCCGTAAAAAATCCTTTTCCAAAGAGAGATTGAAAAATATAGAAAAATTTCAAATCCTAGTTTGACAAATATGTTCTGTTCCTCTTAATTATACAAATTGGCGTACAGGTTGGGAATTTAAACTTAGTGGGAAATCCTTACTGCAGATTTCCAGTTTTGTTAATTGCGTTTTCGGTATTAGACTTGAGCAATCAAAAGCATGTGATGTGTCACGTGGTTAACTCGTTCCTAAAGCAACGATAGACGCTACGTCACGGTAAATTATATATCCGGTAGCCGATTTATTGACAGGTAAACAAACCAGGTAAAAATAAATTGAACAGAAATATACAAAAGATGCAATCTAGTGTTGATTCATACCCAGGCCCTCCATTCCAGTCAATGGTACGTGCTAGTGGTTTGGGCGAAATTTGGACTCACGACGTTGAAGACTCAAAATTCAGGCAGTTTGGTTGGAGGTGTACAAATAAGGAGAACTCGTATGCAAATGACACGTTAATAGGAAACTGGAACGAAAAACGGTTCGACAATACATATACTAAAGAAGCCAAATGTTTGCCATCACAGGTTGGTATTTTTATTCAAATATTACACAAATTAATTATTATATCCTAATATTTATATTAATGGTTGTGAAAAAATACACATTCTGTATGGGGAAAAGGCATCATAATTTGAATAAAAGAATTAACAAACTACAAGAAGGTAGCTCTTATAAAAAGCTTCTAGGATATATAAAAAAAAACACGGTTTCCGGCTGCAACATAAAATAGTAAGATTTCCCATAGATTCCTTTCAAAATTACACAATTTCTGAGTTAATTCCCCTTACTAAGCTAAGTTTTAAAAAATTGAAATCAAGCTCAAATATTATACCTTTGTAAAAGTATAAGTAATTACATAATATCACACGATTTTTTTCATTTGAAGAAAAATTCTTATCAGTAAATTGCTTTCCTGCATCGAAACATATTGACTTGTTTGAAAATTTAGACTAATGGGTGGTTCGGGGCATCGGGACTTCCCTGTTTCCCTTCGTGTTTTTGGGGGAGGGTGGTGTTTTTGTAAATATTGTTGTAAGTACGTTATTGACACATTTCCATTAATCCCGATAGGAAGTTCAAACGGATTCCACTGTACCCTCGCAGCTCTCGAGGGGAGCTACGAATAACGGAGAAATTTACCAGTACATACGTTGGCGGAATGCTCCGATACCACCTTTTAAGCTGCATATTCCAGAGATACAATAAATAAAAATTAATTATGAAATAGATCTTTAAACATGTACGTCACAATAAAAAAAAAACCGGAAACACTTCTGTTTTACCTTCAATTTTGTTTTAAAATGATATGTATAAAATACTCCCACTTTCGAAAACTAGGTCTATACCTAGGATTACACTTAGACCTACGATTACAGTTGGCGAAAAACAAAGGGTCATCTCAAAATATACAAAAACAATAGAGATACATCGTAAAATCAAATACTTTTTTTATGATGTAAATAAGTCTTTTCGACGATACACTAATGCAGTGCATATGGTCACAACAGATTCGAATAGTTATACATGTTTTGTATTTCGCCACAAAGTCCCCATAACTTTATATTTTTTTAATGATCCGATGGCGTGTTCAACCTCTCAACCGTCCCTACTCTATAGTGTGCAATAATTCTATTTAATTCTCTACAATTCCTCCACATATTCTTTTTTTTTGACAATCTGTTGTATACGATATCAATACTGTCTGTTTGGATATATTTTGCCGCCCACTAAAAACAGCAGAGAACCATGCGCTTACCCCGAGAAGCAGAGAAACTTCTTTTTATGATATGGCTCTAAAATGTGTCTTATCCTATTTAAGTATGGCAAATTAAATAAAAGTTTCGTTTAAAGGATACTCTACAAACGGTACACTTGAAAATCACGGGAAAATGCTATTTCTCAAATTACACAATGTAACAATTAATAACTCTTCTCGCCTGATATACCTTTGCACCTTTTATCCCGTTTAATCAACGGAATAATTTTGAGGATAAACGTCGTGTTGAAATGGACACGTCATAAGTGCACTCTATATATACAATGTACATATATTGTTTTTATCCTGAGATTTACACCCAACACTTGAAACTTTAGTTGTTAGAATCTAAATCATTGTCTCTAATTTTTCAAAGTAATCGACATAGTTAAAACGCGTACCTCGAAGAGGACCCCAAAATGAACTGGTACGCAAAATGAAATATCCACATTACCGCTTGCTCAACATGGAAGAGGGGTAACAGGAGACTTTATTTGTACAAGTACAAATAAAGCAAACAATGTTGTACCTGTTATTTGTACAATAGTTGGCTGATTGCGGGATAAATATATATATAGTAACAATGTCAAGAAAATTGTACAGGTCTCTGATCAGAAGTTACTGATCATGCTTCGAGCATACCAGACCCACCCATATTCATTGCAGAAAATTATCGATACCGTGAGAGAAAGAGTCCATACTCAAATGAGTCCCAAGATCTCAAAAACAAAATGACTTTTTTTAATTTGAAAAGATGCATGTAGATAGTAAAATCCCAACTATTTGAGTGATCCTAATATTCTTACATTTCAAATGAGAAGATGAATAGTTAAAGTTATATATTCGACATAAAGATGTTCGTTGATAACGGTGTTTTTTTTGTGTATATTTTTGTTTTTTTATACTGATAACAAAAACAAAACATAGACAAAAGCAAAAAAAAAATAACAAAACAAAAACAAAACATACTGAACGGCAAGTGGAATGCCATGAAGAATAGATAGTTCTTAATTACCCGCCCGCTTTATCCCTACATTCTCTTTTTACGAAAATCAAAAATGTATGTCATAGCATAAACATTGAATATTGTCAACATGCTCCTTAGTTGATTTCCCCTAAGCTTTCTTAACACTAAGACTGGCATAAACTGAGTTTAAATTGTCCCAACATAGCTTTACCACTGCAACGACGATTGCGAATTTTTTTTGGCCTGTATCATGTAAAATTTATTAAATGATGTGTACTTATATTTCGTATAATAACCCAGTTGTTCAAATATAGAAAAAAACATCATAGGAGTTAGCCTTTTTTTTGTGGAACGACGGTTTATATTTTACACTCCTGTAAGTGTAATCATAATCGTAGGTGCATGACACTGTTTCGCAAATGTCTAATTTTGGTATACTTTGGATTTTAAACCTGGAAAATTAATGAAAATGCCGAAAAGGGGCCATTCACTTTATCTTAAAAATAAAAAACGTGCAGCAGTAATATCATAGTTTGCAAAGAAGGGGCGAAATTATTTTTGCAGGCAATATTTTAATTTTGGGGAGATAATATTTGCAGATTAATACGACGACTTCACGGTTCTCCAAATTTTTATTTTTTATGTACGCTGTAGAAACATTCTAACAAGTCTGAAGGTTACAAATCTCTTATCCTTATTATGTATTTACTAATATTCCAGTGGCAGGGTAAATATTTCCTCCTTTCGCTCTTCTTTCAGATCCACCCACTTTGTAAATCCAACTTATTGGATCTTGCTCTCGTCCTAATTTGTGCTAACTGTAAATAAAATACTTTTCACTAGACGTTAAGCTAACAATAATCAACCAATAAATATCATTTACCAATCTTTATATGTGACTTACTGATAGAACTGCAAAATGGAATGAATTCAGTCTGACTAAAACCAGCCCCACTATCCAATTGTGTTTGTTAGTAGATAGTGGGGACTGGTTTTAGTTAGACTGGAATGAATTGCAATCTAGGTTTTAGTTGGTCACTCAGTAGTTGCAATATTTCAGTTATCATTGTTCCTTTCCAGCATGGTCACTACTTTGAAGCAACATATGACAAAAGTTACAACTATCAACCATACGAAGTACCAAAAGAACTGAAGCATTTGAAGGGTAAGTACTTATACTATCAACCACACGAAATACCAAAAGAACTGAATCATTTAAAGGGTAATCACTTATACTATCAACCACACGAAGTAACAAAAGAACTGAAGCATTTAAAGGGTAATCACTTATACTATCAACCACACGAAGTACCAAAAGAACTGAAGCATTTAAAGGGTAAGCACTTCTACTATCAACCATACGAAGTATAAAAAGAACTGAAGCATTTAAAGGGTAAGCACTTATACTGTCAACCATACGAAGTACCAAAGGAACTGAAGCATTTAAAGGGTAAACACTTATACTATCAACCATACGAAGTACCAAAAGAACTGAAGCATTTAAAGGGTAAGCACTTATACTGTCAACCATACGAAGTACCAAAGGAACTGAAGCATTTAAAGGGTAAACACTTATACTGTCAACCATACGATGTACCAAAAGAACTGAATCATTTAAAGGATAAGCACTTATACTATCAACCATACGAAGTACCAAAAGAACTGAAGCATTTAAAGGATTTATATAAACAATTATACTATGAATCATTCGAAGTACCAACAGAACTGAATCATTTAAAGGGTAAGCACTTATACTATCAGTCATACGAAGTACCAAAAGAACTAAGCATGTTTAAAGGGTAAGCTTTTACCTCACTAATGTTATCAACCATACGAATAACATTTTAAATGGTTAAAACAATCCATAATGAAAATTAAAGGATTTAAACAAAGGGGATAAATTCATCCAATACAAGTATATGATTTTTTTTTTATCTAAATCCTGTACCCAAGCACTTGTGCTATATACATTATTGTTGTTTCTTTTTCGATCAAAGTTTAATATGACCAAAATACATATATATAAAAGTTTTTTGTAAATTGTGTGACAGTTTTGTACATTTTTGTCGAGCCTTCGACTTTTGTCGAAAAAGCGAGACATAGCGATCCTACATTCCGTCGGCGTCGTCGTCGGCGTCGTCGTCGTCGTCGGCGGCGTCCACAAATATTCACTCTGTGGTTAAAGTTTTTGAAATTTTAATAACTTTCTTAAACTATCCTGGATGTCTACCAAACTTGGACAGAAGCTTGTTTATGATCATAAGATAATATTCCAAAGTAAATTTTGTAAAAAAAAAATTCCATTTTTTCCGTATTTTACTTATAAATGGACTTAGTTTTTCTGCCAGCAAACATTACATTCACTCTGTGGTTAAAGTTTTTGAAATTTTAATAACTTTCTTAAACTATCCTGGATTTCAACCAAACTTGGAAAGAAGCTTGTTTATGTTCATAAGATAGTATCCAGAAGTAAATTTTGTAAAAATAAAATTCCATTTTTCCGTATTTTACTTGTAAATGGACTTAGTTTTTCTGCCAGTTAACATTACATTCACTCTGTGGTTAAAGTTTTAAAAATTTTAACAACTTTCTTAAACTATCCTGGATTTCTACCAAACTTGGAAAGAAGCTTGTTTATGATCATAAGATAGTATCCAGAAGTAAATTTTGTAAACAAAAATTCCATTTTTTCCGTATTTTACTTATAAATGGACTTAGTTTTTTTGCCAGTTAACATAACATTCACTCTGTGGTTAAAGTTTTTAAAATTTTAACAACTTTCTTAAACTATCCTGGATTTGTACCAAACTTGGACAGAAGTTTGTTTATGATTAAAAGCTAGTATTAAGAAGGAAATTTTGTTAAAATATTGTTTCATTTTTTCCGTATTTTACTTATAAATGGACTTAGTTTTTCTTCCAGTTAACATTACATACAGTCTGCAGTTTAAGTTTTTAAAACATTTATTAGATTCATAAACTATCCTGGATTTTTACCAAATTTGGACAGAAGCTACTTACAATCAAAAGATAGTATAGACAGGAATATTTTTATTAATTTTTTTCCTCATTTTTGTTGAGCCAGTGATTAACAGCAAAAGTAGGCGAGACACTGGGTTCCGCGGAACCCTTACGAATTTTTACTGTTTCAAGTCATTTTTTGGCTGCATTCTTCGAAGAGTGTTATCTTGTTTGATGAAAAAGACACAACATATTATCTTTTATCTGTTGTCACCAACCAGTTGAAAGGATCCAGTTAAAAGGAAGAATACAAATAAAAGAAACATTTTGCAACTTAGTTTTTCTACTTTCAGAGCCACATTCACATTCTTTCCCAGGACACCAACCAGAAATAGACAGTTCAAAGGTGAAAGCTATTTATAACAGTTGGGAAACTACTTCTAGGTCTGCTTACGTAGATCCCAGAGTAAGACTACGTCCAACACAAACTCCACAGCAGTCTACTGTCCAGTCTTAAAACTGATGAGAACTTTAGACAAAAACCGGGAGCATTGCAAATGTCTGAAAGTACATAAAGGGTTTACCTTTTAGCATTTTGTATTAAGGCGTCAATTATTACATAAACGTGGCTGTATGTTTTAGTTTGTTTGGAATTAAGCATAATGATAACAGTATTATTAAAGTTTTATACTTGTAGGACCAGTATTCATAATGAGGTATAATTTATGTATGTTGATGTTTTCTGCTCAAATTTATGTAGATTTTAAATAATTGTTTTCTTATAAAAACTTTTACTAGTATTAGAAATATTTTTTTACTATATTATGGTTTAACTACAATAGTACAGCCCCTACTAATAGAGGCAGCTTTAATGGGGGTAGGGTGTCCGTCTACCCTTACGGAGCTATATAACCAGTATATGGTTCATGCATAGTCTTTTTTATATGTTCCACTCCTAACGTTGCCTAGTTTGCCCCCACCCTTTTTCAAAATCCTAGATCTGCATCTGACTTAGTCCAGTAGAATCAATTTTAGTCCAATTATTCCAGAAACATTTCAATAACAACACAATGAACCAAAAGGTTCATGATACAGTCTAGTAGCATCCGATGTAAACCAAATGTTCATGATACAGTCTAGTAGCATCCATGTAGACCAAAGGTTCATGGGACAGTCAAATAGCATCCAATGTAAACCAAAGGTTCATAATACAGTCAAATAGCATCCAATGAAAACAAAAGGTTCATGATACAGTCAAATAGTATCCAATGTAAACCAAAGGTTCATGATACAGTCTAGTAGCATCCATGTAAACCAAAGGTTCATGATACAGTCTAGTAGCATCTAATGTAAACTAAAGGTTCATGATAAAGTCTAGTAGCATCCAATGTGTAAGCAAAAGGTTCATGATACAGTCTAGTAGCATCACCGCTGTAAACCAAAGGTTCCTTATATTCTTGCAACATCCACTGTTATCCAAATGTTCATGATACAGTCTAGTAAGATCCAATGTAACCCAAAGGTTCATTATATAGTCTAACACCATCCCATGTAAACCAAAGTTTCCTGGTACAGTTTTGTAGCATCACATGTAAACCAACGTTTTCTGATACAGTTTTGTAGCATCCCCTATAAACCAACGTTTCCTGATACAGTTTTGTAGCTTCCCCTATAAACCAAAGGTTCCCGATAGTCTTGTGGCATTGATCCCCAATAAACCAAAGGTTCATGATTCAGTCCAGTATCCAAAATTTCAAATCCCAAGCCTTCCGATACCTCAAGTAGCAGCCACTTAAATCCAGTGATACCGGATAAAGTCAGTTCGCTATTTAAACTGCAAGGTTCCTGAAAGTAAGGTAGCAGTTTCTTTAAACCATAAATAACTGATACATCCAGGAAGCATCTCTCTAAACCAAGTGGTAACCGATAAAATCATGTACTAGTATCAGCAATTTGACCTCAAAGACTTCTGATATTGTACACAACGTTTTATTAAAGTGGTTCCCGATACAGTCCGGTAGCATCCATTTAACCAGAAAGGTTTTTGATACAGTACAATATCAGGCTCTTTAACCAAATCGTGTCCGATACAGCCCAGTAGCAGCCATTTAACCAGTAAGGTTTTTGAAAAAGTACAATATCCTTCTTTTTAACCAGATCAATGCAATTGAATGGGGACATATAGTTGGAACCCCCTTTATCCTGGGTTAGGACCCCCCCCCCTTTTATAAATGGCTGGATCCGCCCCTGTACCCGAGAGTCATGTAGCAGCCATTTAAACCAAAAGGTTTTGAAACCGTACAATAGCAGCTGCTTTAACCCAGTGGTACCCGATTGTCAGGTAGCAGCCATTGAAACCCAAAGGTTTTGATACCGTGCAATAGCAGCTGCTTTAACCCAGTGGTACCCGATAGTCAAGTAGCAGTCATTTAAAACCAAAGGTTTTGATACCGCACAATAGCAACTGCTTTAACCCAGTGGTACCCGATAGTCAGGTAGCAGCCATTTAAACCCAAAGGTTTTCATACCGTACAATAGCAACTGCTTTAACCCAGTGGTACCCGATTGTCAAGTAGCAGTCATTTAAAACCAAAGGTTTTGATACCGTACAATAGCAGCTGCTTAAACCCAGTGGTACCCTATAGTCAAGTAGCAGTCATTTAAAACCAAAGGTTTTGATACCGCACAATAGCAACTGCTTTAACCCAGTTGTACCCGATAGTCAGAAAGTAGCCATTTAAACCCAAAGGTTTTATACAATACAATGACAGCTGCTTTAACCTAGTGCTATCCGATAGTTCGGTAACAGTTTTTTTTAAATCCAAAGTTTCTTGATACAGTCGAAGGACGGGAAATTTAAATTGCCACTTTGAAAAGAGAGTATGTTTGATAGGGACACAAAATTAGCGTTGCAACAGCAACTTATGAACTTCTTAATTATTTAAATGATTCTTTTGATTGCAAAAAGCGCTGTATCACCCCTAAACAAAGCATCGGGTTTGAACTGCTTTATTTCGACATCACGTGACTACGTATCATATTTAACAGTATAAGTAACGCTCCTCTACCATGAGTTTTATATTGCTACTAAACGGGAGAAAACCAGGTTAACAGTTTCTTTTATCACAGTAAACAATTGGGCAGAAATGTTTATAGAAATTATGTTAATCCGCTAAAAAATATTAATAAAGGAAGATAAGAAGAATCGTCGAGAAGACAGAATCCTGACTACACAAATAATCAAAAGATACCTGAGTACAAATATAGTCTTCAACAATATCATCCTGACAACACAAATAGTCAAAACGTACCTGAGTACAAATATACAGTCTTCAACAATATCATCCTGACAACACAAATAGTCAAAACGTACCTGAGTACAAATATACAGTCTTCAACAATATCATCCTGACAACACAAAAAGTTAAAAGATATCTGAGTACAAATATACAGTCCAACAATATAATCCTGACAACACAAATAGTCAAAAGATATCTGAGTACAAATATATAGTACTCAACAATACAGACGGCTGTCCATACGATTAATATTTGAAGCTTTATATCGTCCGGAATGTACATATACACGTAGAACTCATACGCTCTCCGAGATATATATTGGATAATACAAGCAATGTCAAGCTTGATAAAACCTATCAACGGTCGGCACTGATTTAACGGTTGAGGAGTCATCATTCATACATTCAAATATAAAAGCCATGGAATAGTAGTTTAAAAGATCTGAATTGCGCACATGTTATTAGTAGATGAATGTTATTATTGAATTTTGACATCTCTGTTTTAAAAGCAATGATCTATATTTGCATAAAAAAGGTTAATCATACTAAATCTAAAAAGTCTAGCTATATATACGTTAATTCCTAAGCACACACTCTAAGTTATTGTATATTATTAATTTGCAAACAGACATTAAAATCAGCAGTTATTTAAGAATACAGTTCACATCAAAATATGACGGCTATACTATCTTTACTATCGATGTATTGATTGGTTATATATATATATATATCGCATAGTCAGATACATGGTGGTAAAGATTGCTTTTTGGGTCTTAATGGGGAGCTGTGAAACATTATATTTCGGTTGATATTCCCCTTTTCTGAATTTCATAACAATGTGTTCTGGACATGTTTTCAATCTTTTCAAGAGTTTCTGTGTTGTATGGTATAAATCCCGAATTTGCATGACTCTGAAAGTCTACTTTAAGCGTACATACTGCATCACGGTTACTGAAGTGTGTTGTCCATTCTAAATGAGATATAATACTCTACATAAAGTTTGTGATGGGAGTACATGATGCTTTCCTGATATTTATAAACATCGGACACGTTGTTCACACGTGACAGAGATCTTCAGTTTCGGTTCTGCAATTTGGACAAATACGCCTGGTTAAATCCATGCCTATGAGCTTGTAAAATGTATGTTCCTGTTAACATTCGGCTTTTTTGCAATTGCTTTTCGGATGTCCAAGACAGATGAAGAAAATGTAGACCAAACTGGATTCGTTACACCTATTTTTAAGTTTTAGATAGCTAAATTTCGTAGAAGTGATTTTTCTTCACATTCTAAGCTAGTTTGCAATGTTGGTTTATTGTTAATATTGTCAATCTTTTCCATTTAATTTTTGTATACTTCTTTTCGAATATTTCAAGAAAAAAGGGAAGGTACATCTCTAGAATTTCTGTTGTTTAGGTAAAGAAGCTTGTTGATTTGCTAGACATATATTGACACATAGCTATAGAGATCTAATATTTCGTTGATACTGTTGATAACACCAAACAAGAGGCTGGTTGTCTTTTGTGAATTTCGGCATTTCGGCAATCTAATTAGAATATAGATCTCGTTATGCTCTTAGACGCGAGTTACGATAGATCTGAATTTTTTAATCAGATTGGGCATTTAGCGGACTTTAAGCTCCCAGTAGAAAGTATACCAATGCACATGCTGTCCTTTTCGGAATTGATAATGAGGTGGAATATGGATAGAAGCATCATTTCTTTGGAGTTTACATGTTTAGCCGGATGTATGCTTGATAGAGCCTATATGTGATGATTTAGTGTTTGAGATATGTACACCTAAATTTCGTTTATACCGTTGTATACTTCCTCAATAATAATAAAATAGATAAAAAATAAGAAGATATAGCATGATTGCCAATGAGACAACTCTCCACCAGAGACCAAATGACATAGAAGTTAACTTAGAAGACGGGAGACATATTGTTCGGTATTCCTTGTAGTGGTATGATAATTTTTGAGATTTCTTTAATGATTTTACATATTTTTTTTATAGTTCAGACGTTTTTCGTTGTTGAAGTTGTCTTTTGGTTAATCAAAATCTTCAAAATATTTTGCCAATAACTTACATTGCTTTTTTATACGGCTTTTCCCTCTCCCATTTTCAGAAAATCGGTATCAGACTTCGAGGCCGTTCTGTATATACTAGTAATACGCATGTACAACATTGTTGGTATTTTTATTTATAATTAAGTCTTTCTGGCACATGGCAGCTTCTCCTTTTATTGAATAAATTATATAAAAAGCACTAAAACATTTTGAACTTCAGAAATATTTGTTTGTCCCTAAGCCTTAACAGTGTATATATATTTGATCACACCATAAAACACATTTTACTCCATTTATGTGATGTATAGAACATCCATTATATAATAAACTGTTAACACAGAGATATGTCTCGCCTATTTGTTATTTTGATAATGCAAATGTAGTAATTGAGATAGCAATACTTTTAACATGTAAGTTATGCAAATATTCAAAGTCAATGAAC